CGGTTACAGCGCCAAATAAGAAGAAGAAGAAAGTTACAGCTCAGTACATTTTTTTTCATCCGAGATAGTCAAAGATGGGGAAGAAAATATCAAAAAGTTAAAAATCCAGAAATAGTCCTAATTTTATGATGGTTCCTTTATATTTTAACTACATTGCATTTGAGTATGGAGAGGCAACTATCTGGAAGTATTTTACATAAAAAATTTACTAAGTATTGCCCGGTTTGTAGTTGCAGTTAAAGAAAACACATGAAAAGGCACGACTTTTTTTGAATTCGAAAAAATGTAAATATTTCAAAAACGGTGACACTTTTACCTGAAAATTTTTTGTTTATCAGGGAGTTCACCCCCCCACCTACCTTCCCCTAAAGTTTGGCACGTTATTTCTGGGACACCCTGTATATGGAATAAAGACAAAAAATATAACCTTAAGCAAAAGCAGATGTATGTATGTATGTACACAAAATAGATATGTATGTAACGTAAGTTTCACTTCTCAAGTGTGGCCCAGGCGCACTTACTTTTTTTTCTAAATTTTGTTTGCGATGTTGCTTTGACCATTGCACATAGACGTGGATGAAAATTATCAAAAAGAAATTTAAAGGTGATAAAAATCCAGAACCAAGTTTAAAAATTTTTGTTGAATAAGTTAAGTTTGAAATCATTAGAAATGTGAATACGAAAAGGTAAAAAAATTAAACTCAGAGTTTCTTAAACACAACATTGAGAATGCTTGACAGATGTTCATAAACACAAAACCTTAAACTCGAGTTTATGGCGCAACATGAACGTAATATTACACTGATATGAAGTGTTTTTGACGTGTTTTTGTTTTGGATTCGACCAACAAATTGTGTTGTTTAAGAGCGTGTCAGACGTGTCAATATTTCCATGTGTGAACAGCCACAAAGACCTTTCTGTCACTTTTCGGAAATCAGTTTCAGAAATTAAACTGCAACTGAAAGAGCGCAAATCGATTTCGGAAATATATTTCAACTTGCTCGTGCTGCACTAGCAATTTTTATTTCTGCTTGAAGTGCTGTCAAACTAATCGAGTGTTGCCGTCTGACGGTGATCGCCAGTTTGTGAGAAATAATAACGAATAATTTAAAACAAATGTCAGCAATTGTTTTAGTTAATTATTTTCAGAATTTAATTCTCTAGTTATCAATAATTACACGGTGCTAAAAAAAAGTCATGCAATACACCCGAAACAAACCTTAGTGTAAGTTTCAGCTATAGTCAAGTACAACATAAAAACAGTTTCGGTATAGTTCGTGAATTTTATTTTATTTAAGGCTCATACCATCTAAAATATGAAAACGACATAAATTTAGATATGCCTTAACTATATCTATTTCAGTAGTAACCTCTCTTTAAATGACTTCATTTCATTAATCTGTTGAAAAAATAAAAAATAAATAAAAAGAAGTTGTAATTTTTGTCTATGGAAACTTTTATTCCATGCATTATTACTTTACACCAGCCACAATGAGATATCCCAAGTCACAACTTTAAATATCTTTTAATATTTCTATGAAGATTATATAAAGCTAATTTTTATTGAAAACGAAAGCGTATAGTTCATATTTCATAACACAAAAACATCGTTATTGAAGATTAAGTGTTTCGGCTAAAATTCATCCTTGAGTGCACAAGGGTAGAATAGAGTTCTTTTCAGCGTCCCACCAGTCACATTCAATAAAATTATTGTTACAAAAAACTAAGAAATCTTTTGGGATTTTTTTTAGAGTAATTTTATACATTGGTTATAGTACTATAATAAAAAATATATTTCGCTGTTGTATAAGTTCCGACGACATAGTTATAATAATTATAATTCCCATTCTGTAGTAAAATGTCCCACTAGTTGCAATGGAATGACCCTTAAAAACAACCGTTTCATACTTGATAAACTTATCTATTAACAGCGTAACTATTTTTCATCCGATTTTAAAAGCAAGATATGTTTTGAAAAGAGGATTTCTAAACCTTTAAACTAATTTATATGAAATATATTGTTGGACTTGGCCAAATATGTAGTATTTACCTAGAGAACATTTATTTTCAAATAAATTGATACCCCACTTAATGAAATTTCATACAAATTGTCGAAGTTAAGCAATTTGGGCAAAAACACGGCCTTGAATTGTGTGCATGTACCGGACGTTCAGATTTTTTGAGCAATGTGATTAAGGGCCAGTTTTTCAGTGCCAGTTTAAACTTAGTTTAAGTTAACTGAATTTAAATTGAACAGCTGGCTGACATTTGACTGGCTGATCTTAGTTTAACCAGCCAATTCGGGCGTTTAAACTAAGTTTAAGCCACGGCCGTACACTGAAAAACTGGCCCTAAGGAATTCATCAATATTTACTCAAATTTGATTAAATACCATGCTTCATTAGCACAAAGTTCGTTTTTCATAAAATTGTATAAAATGGGTGTGACATCGCCCACTTATATCATATACAGTAAAACCCGCTTAAGTACCTCACCAAAAATGTCAGCTTTTTGAGGTACTTAGACGGGATGGGTACTTAAAAGAACCCGCTTAAGTACCTCGATGCGGGTAATTAAGCGATCATAATTATTGATGTAGTTAATCTTCTTGTTAATTTACCCTGAATAAAACATGAACATTTAGTGAAGTGTACGTAGCATTATTTAAACACATAAACACATAAATAAAACTTTTTAAAAAAATCTATAAAGCAATGTTATGTCATTCATAAGAATTAAATTCTATAAAGTCATTGCTTATATATATTTTTAAATAAATACAGTGTTGTACGTATCTATCATTTCGGACCAAATTCAAAATGATGTTGTTTGCCACCGGCGTTGCCGTTTTGCTCAAATTTAAGAATTGCTTAAGTTTTTCCTGCCTGTTAAAATGTTAAACTTTTCTTCGTTTTGCTAAATATTTTTATTAAAATAGTCAAAAAGGATAATTTTTCTCAAAAATTCATAGTCAGAAGAGTTACTATTTCAATACATTTTTCAAATTTGTTTTAGGAAGACTGTCATCCAGATCCCACATAAAGTTCCAGCAAATGTTGCTCTACGCAATTCCCGATCCGCGGTCGTCGCATTTTCAAACCTCCGAGTGTACTTCTGCCATGAAATCGCTTCTCATAAAAACTATTTGCCGTTCGGAGGCGACCTAGAACTTTAGGTCCCTTCATTTCCGTGACAAGATCAACACGCTAATTTTGGATAACATGATGCCTAACTCGTTTTTTGCATGCATTCAAAAACTAGCGAAAGGGCAGATAACTATTATAGGAGTATGTGTTGACAGCCTGAAAGAATATGTAATAGTTTTCAAATTTAGCACCTGTTAGGCCCGATTTCAGGGTCGGCACTTAAATGGCCAATTTTACTATTTCAATAAGAGATATGCAACCCTGTGTTTATACCAAACAACCAAGAATGATTGGTAGGTTGTGTAATCAATCCCACCTAAAACAATCAGCTGTTCAGCTGAAATGTAAACAAACATGCAAATGCAACAACAATTTCAAGGAATAAGCAGCAGTGCTGCCAATAGTTTGGCATATTTAAACAAAGATGATCTGAAGCCCAACGAAAGCTAAATGGCATTTAAACAACAATCCACAATTAAACATAAGTGCCGTTTAAATATTCATTTGAAATTGGCCCTTAGACTATAACACCCTTACTTTTGACGACAAAACTCAGCCTTAGAGAGCCTTTACTTACTGACTTGCTTACTTTTTATTTCTATAATTTACTAAGCTCAGGAATAAGCAAACAGTAACTCCAGGCATTTTCGTTTTAATAAGGCCTGATAAATAAGTTGCTTAATTTTAACGTGATTTGTTAAACTTTTTGAAAGGTTTTGTTAAACTTTATTTTTCGGGCGCGGAAGTGTTTCAGAAGTGTTTATAGACCAATAACTTAAAAGTAAAATGGTAATTGGGGTACGAAAAATTTAGGTACTTAGGCGGGTTGGTAAATAAGTGGGGAGGTACTTAAAATAGAGCTTTTCTTCAGATTACATCATAATATTCACGGTGCCCAAAAATATTGGTTACTTAAGCGAGTTAGGTACTTAAGGAGGTTTCACTGTATGCGTATCTCAAAAACTACTTGACAGATCTCGACCAAATTTTATATACCAATTGTGCTTAGCCTCCTTAATCCTCGTATTGAATATTTATGAAATTGGACAAAACATACTCCCCCTAAATTATCGCTAGCTTTGAGTTTTTTGAAACTACCGATATGTAGGTGGAGCACGTGGGCGCAATTTCATCAAGTGAGGTATCAATTTATTAAAAAATATGTTTTTTACGTAAATGGTACACATTTGGCAACTTTCATAGAAGTTATTGAAATCAGCTCTGTTCAAAGTTGATAAAGTTAAGAAAGATAGCGGCTTATCTTATTAAAGTTTAACCGATGAAAACTCCCGACAGGCTAAGCCTAACATTATATTGTTATACACCATTTTAAGGGTCTATAAATCTTCTCTTCAAAACATGTTTCGTTTAAAATCTGATGAATAATAGTCAAGCTGTTAATAAAGAAGTGCATCAAGTATCTATACGAATCCTATTTTTATGTTGTACTCGACTATTGCTACAACTACACTGGGTTTTGTTTCGAGAAAGACTGCCAGAAATTCATTCGCTGTGTGAACAGCCCAAAAGCGATTTCAGAAGTTTTCCCAGCGGTTCGCGTTTCGGAAATAAAAAAACCTTTTTCGAAAGACACTTTACATTCAAGGTGTGACCACTGCTTCCTGAAATTTCTCAATTTGACAGGCTTTTCAAAATATTTTGCATTGCTACGTCTGCCACGCTCTGTACTAACCAAGTAAAAAAAAAACTTTAAAATACTAAATATCTTAAAAACTACAAGGATCCCGCACCTAAAATTGCGAAAAGATGAAATCGCCCACTCCCCGAATCAGGGGGCTTCATTTTAAAAGAACCCCTTCATAAAAAGGTCAAGAAAGATTTTAAATAACTCACCAAAAGTATTGTCTGTTAAAAAATGTAAGAGATGAAGATCTATGATGGGCCGGTTCGTTGTTGAGTGACTGCAAGATAATTCTTTTTGTTTGCTAAATGCAGCAGTAGCAGCAATCGCGGCTTCACTTTTAATACGAGCAAGCGTGGTATTAGCCTGTTCCATATTCAATAAACCCTTTCGCTTGATATCATCTACAGAAGATGTGCTACAATAATGTATGCTGCCAGCTGTTAAGTCCTCAGGATCGTCAACAGGTTCACAAGTTCCAATCTTATGTTGATTGCTGTAAAGGTAGTCGGGTCCGCTCATACTGTTACTATTAACGGATGAAGATCGGTCATGCAGATCATCCGGGGAAATTTTTACACCTGCCTTGGCTAGCAAACGTGAAGCTAAATTTGGATCAAATGCACATGGCATTGGTAGTACGGGCAAATCTTTCGTGGAGATGCCTCGATGTTGACGTGACATATGAGAATGTAGCGAATTTCGGGATTTCGCAACAGTACCACATAAAACACATCTGTAACCTGGGCAGACCGTGTGTTTGTCCTCAAGGTGAGTACGAAGTGTATGTGCAGATCTATAAATCTTTCCACATTTTGGACAGGGACGTGGATCCGTGGCACGCACACGCAATTCCACCGAACGCTGAGTTCCTGAGCATAATAGAAGCAAAAATAATTTACAAATGCCAAAAACTTCACGGTTTTTATAATCAAATAAAATTTAGTTAAACATACGTAAGAGATGTTCTCTTTCTAAATGGATGGAAATCGCAAAAATTTAGTATCTACATATGTATGTACTGTTATAAAGAAAATACATACATATATTTCCTTATTAAATTAATGAGCCTGGCTGGATAACACAAAACTATAAGCTTGAGAACAGTTGGTTTTATAAATACTTTAAAGGCAGTACAATCTTCTTACAAGGAATTTATAAGGCTCTGTTTGTAGGCATACATATTTTTATAAGCCTCATTTAATTTCTCCTCCGTTTCATGATTACAGTAAAACCTCAAAAACTTTCAACTTTTAGATCTCTATACATTTTTTTTAATTCAGATCAGTAAATCAATATTTATTTGTTGAGCAATTACCACCAAGCAAAATTGTACATTTCTGTGAATTTTAGTTTTTAGAGCAATTGCGCGGTCTCTTTTCGAAGTACGATTTTGTCTTCATAAAGACCATGAAGGCTCTTCAGTTATACCATTGCCGATTTCACTAGGTAAAAAAATAGTTTGTTTTTATAATTCTATATGTACTTATATACATTTTTCTTTTTGAAGCAACTGCTGCTCCTCTTTTCGAAGTTGAATTTCTTTTCAGTATCTTCTTGAGGATCGTGAATACCTTTCATCTATACCATTTCAGATTTCAGTAGACAATGTACATTGAAGTTAAATAAATTGAAATTAAAGCGAAATCATTCCATGTAGACTAAATATTCGCTGGTTGAGCAGACTAAAATATCTATCGTCTACGATAAGAGGTTTTGATATGACTTCTCCATAAAGCAATTAGTCTTTTCATGTTCCTCGCCTAAATTTTAAGATCGAAAGATCTAAGGATATGGTATAGCTCTCCCTGTTTGTTAAGTTAACAAACTGAGCTTTAAGTAGTTTCAAGCTCTCTACATAAACTATTTTGGATTTTAATATACAGTTGATTTTATAAGTGTTTTGGATATACATTTGGCTGTAGCGCAATATTTTTAATGTGAAAAAACAATTTCACGTCAGAACAAAATTACAATTTTCGTTTTCTTACTTTTTTTGAACTTTGACGGCAGACAATGATTAATTGCTTCGTTAATTGTATTGAAACTCGCAAATTCACTATTTATAATGATTTTTAAGCAGAAATGATTTTTTAAATACAATTTTTTTTAATTTTTTCGTAAATATTAAGAATTTTGATGGCGGGTGCAGCGGTCAAGAATTTATTGGAAAATTCTCAAAAAAAAGCTGAAAAAATTAGACAACTTCTTGAAATGAATGTCTAGTTTATATACATTTAATTTCGTGAAATATTAGTCATCAGGGTGTATGAGAGAGGAAATACTTCAGTTCGTAAACATTTATCTTCTTTGTGTGTCATTTCTCATGAAACGATTTGAGAAGTTTTTTCGAAAAAGCCTTTTCTCAGTGTCAGACCAGGGGCTCTATACAAAGTTATTTATAAAACTTTGAAATGTTTTATAAACTCGTGTTGACGGCTCCATCTAGCTAGCACACCATTCAAGCATTAAAAAAAACCTATATGCAATCGGTTGGTGATCAATGGGTGAGAGGATTGGCCACTCATTTTCATCGTTTGGTCGTCAGCCACATTGAATTTTCCAAATTGGGTGTTGAAAATTGTATGTGCTAGTACGATATCTAAACATTTACTAAAGAAGTATATGCACGAAATTTCAATAAAAAAAATGGATAATGACCAAACGATGAAAATGAGTGACGAATCCTCACTGATTGGTCACCAATTGATTGCATACAATTTTTTTCGTAAATGCTTGGATGGGGTGCTGGCACCCAAAATTTGCATCCCTTAATTTGAAAATTGAATAAAAAGTAAAGAGAGAACGGTTAATAAAAAGAGGACGGTTAATGACCAAACGATGAAAACTAGTGGCCAATCTGACCAATCGTTTGCAAATACAAAGTTTTATTCAGAAATGCTTGAATGCGGTGATAGTACATCAAATTTTCAACCCAAAATTTTAAGTTTGAATAACAAGGGAACGGCTAATGACCAAACAATGAAAATAAGTGACCAACCCTCACCGATTGATGACCAATTAACACCGTTATGGCAGCATTAGGACCGCAAAACTCTGAAAGCTTTTTACCATCAATTGGACAGATACCCGACCAAGGTCGCTACGACTTCGTAAAACGCCTACTAATCACATTCTTCACCGACAGCCAATAACGCCGGCTCAACCAGATGCTGAACGAAACGCAGTTGGGCCAAACGATGGCCAATACATATACGTTCAAGACGCAGTAGCCGCTTGTTCGGGATCTGCAGAACAGTACTTAAAAGTAGCAGATGCCATCGTGGACACCATCAGTTTGCAAGTAAATAGCTGTACGAGTCAACGAGTCAAGCAACACATTAACATCAGCACCTTCAACAGCTACGCCGGTCCAAACCCAACCAAAGGGTAAGAACACTGAGTTAGACGGTACCATAAACAAACTGTCAGAACGATTTGACCAAATGTACGCTTAGCTCGGCGGTGAACGCGGCCGCCACCAGCAGGAGTCCCGATGCCAGTCACGTGAACGGCGTTGAAGCAAGACACCAGTGTATTCCGATGAGTACTGGTATCGCCGAAAATTCGGTTATATTACTGAGAACTTCTGACCGCCCTGTAAACGTTACAAAAGTGGCGCGAACGACTCAAGCTCAAAATGCATTGAATCGGTCGCTTAACAATCAACGAACGAAAATCCGCAATTTCCTTTTTTATCGATACGGGAGCTGCCATTTCGGTTTTACCGCGTCGATATACACAAGCCGCAACCCCCTCACCGGTACAATGGTTCCCTAATCGCTACGTACGGCCAACGACACCGCCGCCTCGACATTGGCTTACGCAGACTTTTCGATTGGATGTTTACCATAGCCGAAGTAGATGCCGTGCTAAAAGCCATAGGAAATAACGCCATATGGCTTTATTTCACTTTACATCAGGGATGAAAAATGGAAATTTCAGATTGTACCTAATATCATAAAATAAATACACCTAAATGAGACAGATTGTACCTAAAAAAAGTTACATCATTCGTTTTTTTTTTTATTTATTTTATTTAAAATATTAATATAAAAGATGGATGTACTTTAAACTTGATTAGATTTTTTTTTTTAACAGAGCTTATATTTACAGGCTATAGTCCAATCGGAGCTTTGTTTTTGTCTTATTTTGACTACTGAAAAATATTGGCGAAAAACACTTGCGCATTTTACTTTTATATCCAGGTTTTTATAAAACAACAGGAAAGTTCTGCTAATTTATCCGATTCCTTTTAGTAGGTACAGCAAATCTAAAGAAAATAATCAGAATTGCCGTAAGTAACTTTGAAAGCATTTTAAATATATTTCCAGAAATCAAAAAGCGAATATGGGTCAAACAAATTTTGTCTCATATAAAGAATATACGAAAAAATTTAAGAAATTCTAGACACTTGCGTATGGGCGAATAAAGGCTGGTTTTCATTGCCATATTTTGACAATAAAATTTGTCATAAATTTTTACGCAACTTTCTTCCTTTATCCATAGTTTTATCGATGATAATATTGGCCAAAAATTAAAAAACAAGCTGCTTTAGCAGCGCGACTGAAGACCTATTCTGATCTTAATCAATCAAGAGACCATTTTTACTCCCATTTGACAATTTGTTTTCACATATTTGACCGCAAATGCCATTGAATTTGACATAGGGCGCAATGCCGTTTTATGGAAGAAATTGGTTCAAATTTCGAATATAACAAAAATTACGAATTTGAGGAGGTTAAGAAAAGTATTAATTTTTCGCAGTGGCTACTTTAAATACAATGTAAAACATTTAAGAGAATACATAATATAATTTCTTCCTTTTGACCACTTTTCTTTAGAATTGTTTATTCTTCAAAATGAAAGCGTAGCTTCTCCCAACCTACAAGTAAGTATGTAAGTGATCAAAAGATGATTGTACCTAAAATCTAGTGATTGTACCTATTGCATCTTTAAGTCATTAAACGTCGGAAAAAGGTACAATTGTACCTAATTTTTCATCCCTGCTTTACATTGAGAAATAAAGCCATATTTTTGCGTACGGTCTTATTTCTCACTGTGGAAGTGAAATAAATATGGCGTTATTGCACTTTTGATAATTTTTTGTGTAATGTTTACCTAGTGCACAGCTGGTGTGCATCTGTACATAAAGTAACTTGGTAATTCTCTAGTTGAAGGTACAACTCGAAAAACAAAAAAAAAAAAACGTCCAAAACTGTTAGGAGGGGTACCAATCGGCGCATTTTTATCCCGGTGTTAACAATTCGGGGGTGGGGGTTTATATTGTTAACCGTGTAAAATTTATTTAAAAAAAAATACTTTTTTGAATTGTTGCTCTTTTTTATGAGTACCTGCATGCTCGAAAATGCACTAAATCACCAATATTCTCTTCTGAAACGCTAGGGTAAGGCTTCCTCAAGTGGGCACCGAATTTACCAACATTAATATTTTTCAATGATATTCAGGCAGCGCCCAGTGAAAAGATTTTTTGGGTGCAGAATTAAGAAATATTAAACTATACAATGAAGTTATTTGCGTTACAAAACTATTTCGTTTTTGCTTTTCAATATTTTTTTTTATAAAAAATTGTACTTTTAAGCAATTTCTGAGCCTCGTGGACGAAAATGTTTAACAACAACTTATGTAAAAAACATTTCTGCATTTATCTATGAAAAAATGCGTGCATTTCGATATAGTTTGGTCGGAATAAATTTTTATTTGCCAGCTTGCGGGCCCGAATCGTGTGGCTGGATCGCGCGCAATCCGTGTTGACTTCTTGCGCAAGAAAGAAATGCACGTATCAATCGTTCCACTTGTATTTCTCATGCACGAATTTCGCATGCAAATATAAATTGAAAAATACTCTGTT